AAGCCTGCAGAGTTGCATGGGGTTGTTGTGACCGAAGTGCAGGACCCGGCTCTTGGCCTTGTTAAACCTCATACAGTTGGCCTCGGCCCATCGATCCAGCCTGTCCAGGTCCCTCTGCAGGGCTATCCTACCCTCCAGCAGATCGACACTCCCACCCAATTTGGTGTCATCTGCAAACTTACTGAGGGCACACTCAATCCCCTCCTTCAGATCATTGATAAAGATATTAAACAAGACTGGCCCCAAAACTGAGCCCTGAGGAACACCGCTCGTGACTGGCGCCAACTGGATTTAACTCCATTCACCACAACTCTCTGGGCTTGGCCATCCAGCCAGTTTTTTACCCAGCGAAGGGTACACCCATCCAAGCCATGAGCCACCAGCTTCCTAAGGAGAATGCTGTGGGAGACTGTGTCAAAGGCTTTAGTGAAGTCCAGGTAGATGACATCCACAGCCTTTCCTTCATCCACTAGGCAGGTCACCAGGTCATAGAAGGAGATCAGGTTGGTCAAGCAGGTCCTGCCTTTCATGAACCCATCTGGACATTTTTCATGTTCTCAGCTCTCAAAATAGCTAGGAACCACAGCAATAGCCTTTTTGGTTTTCTGAGGTACTAAAAATTTAAATTGCAGCTTCATGACACAATGGAGCTGATTTGACATCCAGATACAGTCAAAGGGTCACCTCAGTCCCTTGATCTCACCCATTACCTGTTCTAAACTCAAGCAACTGTAACTGGGCGAAACTAGCTTGCGACATACACACACAAACACAACACACATCACCAAAACTAGACCATGAAAAGGCTCTCCCTGGCTTTAAAGTATACATACTGAAACCTTCTGTTTCATAATTTGAGATCAATTGGAGAATTCAGCTGATGGACTTGAGAAAAGTACCTTCCCTCTCTTTGTTCCCCCGCATTGGCTGTTGCTTCTATTCCACATCAGAACAAATCAACTTCACCTTCAAAGTCCTGACAACCTACTACTCTCATTTCAGTACCAAAATGCCAATCCATTTGTTAGCCTATGACACCAGGAATCTGGAGTCCTTCCCATAGTTTGAATAAATAATATTTTCCTGCTCCCAATCCTCCCCATACTGCACCCATGTGTTATGGGAGCTGGCCATATGCTCTATACAAGTCTGCTTCGTCCTCCTCAAAGTTTTCTTGCATTGAGACCTAGAGGAAAAAATATTTCAGGTTTAAGTGTTTAAATCTTTGCCTATTGATGTAAGCAATACTGACCAATATTCTTTCCTGTTCTTTGTCATCTGTCTCTGTCTATTGTCTTGTATTACACACAGGTTGTAAATCTGTTATGTGTCTCGCACAAGTGGATCCTGGTCTGAGATCAGGACTCCAGGTGAGCTGACAACAGAAAATGAAGGGTTATATTCTAGTCAACAGGCTTTTTTTTTTTTTTTAAACCAATCATCTTCCAATCTGTCATTGTGTATTCTTGCTTACTAAAAGATCCTGCCAGATTTCAACAGTGAAGGAGTCACAATTCATATATATAATTTATGAAGACACTGCCCAGCCATTTTTCTTATTGTTTTGGTATATTAAGTGATAGTCAACATAATCTTTGCATTCAGGTAGATTTCAATCAATCCCAATGTATCATGCAATTTTTAAACCATGAAAATGCACACAGTCTTATGTTCTCAAGTTCTACCAAAGTCAGCCTATCCACAATGAACCAGAAAGACTCATGTTAGCCAGCTGTGGGGTTAATGGCAGCTGGGAAAAAATCTTTGATGGATCTGCCACAATGCTTTGGGCTGCTTTGCTAAAACAAACAAACAAACCAAGCTTCAAAACAAACATCACCTAAGAAAAAGAGCAAATTAGAAGAAACCGCTTCTTTATAATTCAGCACCAAATGAACAAATCTTGAGGTCCAGTTTTCTTAGCAAAGGTAACTTTGTGCTTAGTTAGCTGACATAAAAGCATAGCCATTTTTACCAGGTGCTGCAGACAAATGGGCTACCTGAATATTAGTTTCAATTCAGGAGACATGGGGGGAATAATTTTTAAGGGGGGGGGGGGGGGACGTATTTTAAGTATAGATCTATTTTAACTAGCTTGGCAGCATAACAACGAAGTTGAAACAGCCTGGTTGTCTCACTGTTACAGCAAAACTGGATTTACAACCCCAGAAGTTTTATATGGCTTATCATCACCTAAAAGAATTAGTGAAAGTCTAATTTCCTCCCGCTCAGATACACACATCCTGATATACACACACTTCAATGTATCATTATACACACCAATTTCTTTTCAGAGCATTTAAGTCTTTTCCCTTTTAGTACAGGCTTTGGTGCAATCTGTGATACAATGCATTTGATACTTACCGAGTCTAGAAAAAGCTAGAAACTTTTTAAAAGTTATCTGACTTCGAGTGAGTTTTATTTCCTGTTATTTCCAACATTGTAAAAGTGAAGGAAAGGCTCAGAAACTGTTAATAATTAAATATTATATCTCCACTTTTTATATTGATCAACAGCTTTCCCAGTTGCCCTCCCTTGACTCAGGATGTATACCACTTCAATGCAGACACATACGAAAACTAGGACAAGATATATAACCTTCAGAATTATTTCTAGAGTCTTTTACAAATACTAAGCAATACTGTGGGTTTTGTAAGGTTGTTTTTTTTTTTTGCCATGATCAAACATCTCAGAAAACAGGAGCTGATCCATTCAGTCAACTATTCCTACTTTTGTCCATATTATCCTGACCCTTTTGAACATGTGCTTCCCCCTCCCAATTTCACAATCTACATGCTTCACAAGTCCAGTAAATAGAAACACAATAATTAAAAAGAACAAAACAAAACCCAACTAGCTTGTGCTTTATAATAAATATTGTGGTTGCATCTTTCTCAGTCTACCTCCCCCCCTTGTTACTACAAACATTTACAAAGACTCTCTAAGCTACAATAATGTTCTACAAAACTTAATTACAGAAAACTAAAAATACACCTTATTATGACCACATATTATACCACAATTTTACAAGAGGCTGGAAAAAAACATACAATGTCTTACCCAACATCTTGACCCCAAGCATCTTAAATGAGGGTAAACCACCGAGTTTCATTCTGTTGTGTATTTCAGTGCTCTCATCTGTTATTTGGCGGGGGGAGGAGGGGGGAAATCTGTTTTTTGGGTTGTTTGTTTTGTTTTTAAATAAGGCAAGTACTTCATAGAGTCTGCTGGGAAAACAGCCCCACGGGTTTCATTTTGCCATCATAATAGCATTCACTTATCTTGGCAACTAAAGAAGTATTCACACCCACATGTGAAATGCCACTAAAGAAAACACAGAATACATGGCTAACTTAATATTTGATGAATACATATGAAAGTTTAGACTTAAATTTAGCTCAGCTTTTACATTACTGGCTGAACTACAAATATATGGGTGTCATTTTAAATTAAAGTCCTCAGGGCTCTACCACCTTTCCTTAAAACAAAGGAATGAAACAAGAAGAAGTAAAAATTAAATAAACAAAAAAGGCTACAAACTGAAACCATGCCATAGGAATGAAAACATTAATCCTGCATCTAGAATTTCTGCCACAAGTCTCAACTATTTAAGCAATTCTTTTATTTGCTTGTTTCATCTAGCAAGAAATTCGTATAATCTGTGAAGCCAAAAATGAAGCTAACTGTGACTGCCATTCTGCTCTATTTTTACTATATTATTTCGTGGAATTAGCAGACCTCATCAGTGATTTTTTGGAATCTATGAAAAGTAAAAAATAAATGCAAGATTTTTAGATAGGAAAAAAAAAACCCTACTGTTATAGGGCAACAAAATCACCTGTCCCTACTTCTCAGGAAATACACCTCAAGTTTAGA